GTTTTCAGAAACAGACTGCCAGGTACTTCTTCCTAGTCTGTCTTACTCTGGGGGCTCCACTGAATCTTGTATAGCATGGGTGACCCTGAGGGTATTTGAAATACCGGTAACACAACTTCCAGCATCACAGCAACTTGCAACACCCCACAGTATGACAAAGAGACAGATGCCTGGTGCTAGATCATTACTAGGGTCAAATCTCACTAAGGTTCACAGGGTCACAGATAACATAATCGATAAAGAAATAACATACATCAAAGGAATTGTAAGATTTTGGTAATATATATTAGCAGAAAACTGGGGAATATGCTTGGGAATATATATATGTGTGTGTGTATTTGTTGTTTTTGTTATTTACCATTGACTTTCTTCTGACTCATAACAACCCAATGTGTGCAGAATAGAACTGCCCTATAGGGTTTTCAAGACTGCCACATTTGGAAGCAGATCACTAGGCCTGTCTGCCAAGGTGCCTCTGAGTGTGTTCGAACCACCAGCCTTTCATCTAGTAGTTGAACACTTAAACATATAGGCCATTCAGGGATATATATATATATATATATGTATGTATAAATGTACAGGAACAGATTATCCAATAGTTAAGGCAGGCATGGTGCTTACCTTGCTTACCAGATCATCTCTAATGAAAAATTTCACATTTTTTCACCACATCAAAGGTTTTGCTTCTCGTTATGGCTGACATCTGTCTCTCTCCCAACCCCACAACACCTTCTACAGAATCAAATCCATTTCAAATTTAGAATCCCTAATAGGGATGGATTACCCAGTAATCAAGGTAAGCATAGGCATACTTGTGCTTATTTACTAATCTGTAGTGAACAATTTCACGTGTGTTTCACCACATGGGTTTCCCATGTGAAATTGTTCACTACAGATCAGAAGGTAAGCATAAGTAAGCCCATGCTTACCTTGCTTGCTGGGAAATCTGACCCTGTATAGATAGACAGCGAGAGAGAGGTATATCTGAAAATCCTCTTATTTTGTCATCCAAAAAACTGGTATCAGTTGCCAGAATGGAAAATTACGACCTCTCATCCTGTTTCCTGACCTAAGCCCATTCACAGACCCATAGCTCCTTAATCAAAAAAAAGATTGGGGCTGTTTAAGAAGGACCCTATAGCATTACTGCAAGAATATATCATAAATATTCTTCCAAGACTTCTTCAAATGGACCTGGAGCCATTTATTCCAATGACTTTGTATGGGGAGGCTTTGAGGGGGATACCCAGACAAATTAGGGGTTATGAGACTCTGAATTGATGCTAACTTCTGTAAAACCCTAAACACCACTTTGGATCACTAGTCCAAATGGCAGCTTATGGTGGTCAGTTGATGGATGGAATCTTGACCCAGGTGTGACTACCAGTGTGCCCAGTTAGTAAAGAGTCACACCCTATGATTATTTCTCTGATTTCTGAATGTATAATTGGAATAAATCAATTTGGCAATTGTCACAATTCCCAGATTTTTTCTCTGACAGGGAAAGGACTGTTATGATAGAAGGGCTAAGGGAAAGCTCCTAGAACTTCCTTTCTCTAAGAGAGTTAACCTGAAGCAATACCACATCCCTGGGTGTATAGTAGATTAATG